CCAGCAATACGAGTCGCATCCCCCCAGTGCACCGAGTTGCAGCAGCAACAAGAAAGTGATAGCTGCGCTATATTCGCGACTCCAGCGACCTATAGGGGACCCGCTGTCGGCCAAATATGGCGGTCGAATCCAGGTCGTGCCGCGCCATGTGCCAGCTGAACGCACAACGCTGGGGCACCAGCAAGTAAGCATTGGACTCAAAATTGGTTCCCCCGCGTTTTATCTTCCACGTTTCGAACCTGCAACGATGTGTTGGGGTAAGCGAGCTTCCAGAGGCTTGATTTTTCTTTTAGGAAGCGATGAAAGGACTGCCCACTCCTCCCACGGTGCTGATGAACGTTGATAAACGCAGAACGTCTGGCTCACGCGGTTCCATAGGTCGCGTGCAGAGCAACCTGGGTCACAAGGCGATACTACGGTTACGACACAGTCACCGGTACAACTGTTCTATCGCGCAAACCACTGACAACATGTAAACACGGAAGCCAGAAGAGACGAGCAGAAATCGCGAAGGGACCTGTTCCGGCCAGTTCAGTGTTTTCCCGCTAGGTGCCGTTCGTTTTGCTGGAGTCGCGATAAGACAACGGAGCCTAGGGCACGAGCATGAACCGCTTCTGGACATCTCGTTTGCATCGGACACCGCTGAAACGGTTCGCCCATCTACCCCAGGCTAACTCTAGAAGTCACTTCAGCTTCTGCTGGCAAGTATTGCCACTATGGACAATACCTGCCAGAAAACTCATATTAGGGATAGGTATTTGTTGTATTGGCAAGACGAGACTTAAAAAAAAAGGTGAAGAGTGTCGTGCGTACATATTAAACCGTGCCACTTTATTTACGTATTTAGGTGTGTAAATTGCGTAGCTGATAATGGGGGGCCATGACATCTTAAAGGTGCCGTGCCACAATATTAAGTAAGATTTTTTTTTTTTTTTTTTTTTCACACTTTACACCAGCTTTTGGAACGAATTGGACCCAAGTATAGACCTATTTCGCAAAATCGCGTTCCCGGCCACCTGCTAGGCATATTCGGCAGGGGTGAGGAAAAAAGAATAAAAAATAGTTAAAAAGTAAAGGGGATACAAATCGAGAAGGGGTGACGGTTTACGCTTATATCCTAAATGTATTCAATTGGCGTGGCAACGGCAAAATAATGTTTCCGCCCATACTGGAAGTGACGACATTTCAAGATGGCGACACTCTTGTGAGAAAGGCCTTTTCGCCCTTTTTTGTTTGGAAACAAACTCACTGGCGCCATCTATTGGGTGGCCCCGGCACACTTTCAGTTCACGTATATTTCCTAATTTTATACCCATCATTTTTTTTTTTTTTTTTTACCGTAAGAGTGAATTAGGTGTGACTGATATAAAGCGCCGTTCACACTCTTGCGACCGAGTAAGACGGAGAGAGATCAGACCGATTTTTAAGCCTTTTGCGACTTCTTAGGACCGGATGCGATGCAGCGGAGCTGGTCCTAAGAGATCGCAAGGCTTAAAAACCGGTCTGGTCTCTCTCGGTCTTACACGGTCGCAAGAGTGTGAACGGGCCTTAAGTGGCCATTTCCAGAAAATGGCGTGTATATTTGACTTCGCAAATACTGCGAAACCTGCCGTCTAGTTCAGAACCGGAAGTGGTTGGGGTCTATTTGCACACTGGCACCACCACGGTTCAACTCACGCGAGAAAGAGCGAATGCTCGCACGCGACGCCGCTGACAAGGAAGCTTCTTCGTCGTCGCGAAATATCAAGGATAAAAGCAGACGTTTTCTTTCAGTCTCTCCTTGATGACGAAGTTGTGGGGATTGTATTGTTTGCGTTGTCAACAAAGCGATCCCCAGGATTTTCTCATCAAGCCCGCGGTGGCGATACTTAGATGCGGCTCATACGGTAGACGTTCGCATTGCGTGAGCATTCGATTTGTGCTCGTGACAATGAATGCTCCGACATGCAATCGGTTAGCTCGTGCCCAATCGCTACGATTACGAAAATAGCCGAACTATACCGAACCTTACCAATGTGTGGAGCTCGGCGCGTGTCCTGTGCTTTGCCAACCCCAGCGCGTGGCGGTGATAAACACTGGTGGAATATAATCGGCTCCAGATCACGTGGCCGCTTGTTCTGGCTGCGAATTGAGGGGGTGAACGCCGCTCGTTTTTCTCGAATTTTTATGCAAGATTATCATTGCGTGGATAATCTTGCATAAAGATTATTCGCGCAATTATCCCCCCCCCCCCCCCCAGAAAAAAAACAAAAACAAATAAAAACTAACACGTGTTTTATGGGTAATGAATGTCAAAGAATAATTTTAAACGGTATTTACTGAAAGTACAAAAATTGTTACCTATGCGTATGGAAAAAGCAACGAAACTCGCCAGGCAACATTGGCTCTGCGCGTGGCGTCAGAACAGTAGCCCCTGCGCCTCGCGCAAGGCGGACGTGCCACCGGACGAAGTTCGTCGGTCCTACGCCCGATATTTGCTCCTTGGATTCAGCCTTTACGGAATTAAACAAACTTGCTGTGTATGCGACGTTATAGGTAACTAAAAGTTCCACTGCATTTTTTTTTCTCCTGATAACTTTCTGGTTGCTAGAAGTAGAAACCAAATGTTGTTTTTGGGAGGATACTGGCCAGATTTTGGACGCAGGTCGTGTATACCCTTCGAAGAATCTATCTATCCCCACTTTTATGGGTATACTTCTCCGTTCGTCACATGCCTGTCGTAAAGTAACCGATTACAGAAATTCGTCATGTGATGAGTAACAGGAGCTATATATGGCGTGAATTCACTCTTAGGATAGATTTCTGTGAATGACCAAAAATACCCCCCCCCCCTTCCCTCACTCCCCCCTTCACTCCGGAGGGGTATTCTCCCAGATTATCGAAAAGAAGCTGACGAATGAATCTAAAGTTCCCACAGTTTGGAAGCTCCGCTTGTTTTCCAATTTGTCGCCGCCCGTTTCAAGCCAAATCGAACGAGCCTGAGTTTCAAGTTTGATGAATCCTTCAGTTTCGCGGTCGGTTTCAGAGAGATGGCGAGCGTTCGAATTAGCATATTGCGCTGCGCGGGATCTGTCGAAGCTGGCCGATGGGGAGAACCGCCGAAGCCTACCCGATCCTTCCAGCAAGGTGGCGGACCACCAGCACTGTTTGTCGGATATTATGCATTCGAGAAACGGGTTTTGTGGGAACTTAAACGGGCACCCGCGTTCGCACGGCCGAAAGGAAGAAGGGAGGACCAGCGGCGAATTACGGCCCATTGCGCCCATTGTGCAACCGGCGAACCCTCGTGCCCTACGAGGACAGCGGCGTGACCCTGTGCCGTCGGGTACCGTTGCCGGCGTGTTTGTCACCCGTACCCTGTCCGTGCACGAAAGCCGAGCGACAGAGAGGTGCGCACGAACATCGTCCGCTTCCGGGCCAACCTATCTTTTGGGCGTCACTGAAGCTGCAGTCGCCTGCAACTGGGTCCTGCCAATGCTGGCGTTTCCTCCCGGAGGATGCACATCAAACAACTACTTCTTCCGAATCAACTTTGGACACCGGAAGTGGATGACTTATCGAGAAACGTCTGATGCAGCCATAATCGGCGTGCAACACAGATGACTCGGAAGGTCGGCCTACCGACCAGACAGCGTAGAGCGACAGCTGCCATTCCGAGCGGCACCAGAAAGACTCGAGAAGCCATGGGTGTCGGCGCCGTGTCACCGCACGTGGCGAAAGGGCGCCAAATCCATGCCCGAGGGAAGCGCGTCAATCGAAGCCCAAGGCGGTCGTTAAAAGCGGCAACGAGTGAGAGCCGCAGTTGCGTCATCAAGAGCCTCTTTTCCCACGGTCGGGCCGATGGGCAGTCACTTCCTTATGTTTGGACGCGTCTGGTGGCGGGACGCCCGAGCATGGGCGATTGTCTCGGAGATCTGTCGTACCGACGTGCTCCGCGGTGCAGATGCGCCACCGTATATGCGCCTGTTGTTGATGCGACAAGTGCGTCACCCCCTCGGGCCCCTCTCCGACAGACACATCAAGCGGTCGGTCCGAGTGGCGAGCCCGACGATCGTGACCAGCGATGCTGGCCACGGCCAACCGCCGATGGAGCATTGTTTTCCTAGCGAGGCACGCATTGAATACGCTGGTTTGTTTACTGTCCCCTCGACTCGTTGGATCGCGCGGTTTGCTGGGCGCCGTACGTCTGTGGGTCTTTCGGGCGCCGATAATGCATCCATAGCGCGCCCCGAACCGTCCTAGTGTGTTGTTCGGGTAGGACGCGAAAACGCCGCGTAGCTCGCGAGGAGGTCAACGGGTGAGGTCAGGAGCCCGCCAACTTCCACGAGAGCTGCGCGCTGAAGAGTCATGTGAGAGTGATATCCTCGCCGCCAGTATCTTGCTTTCGTCGTATACTTTGGCCTTCTCAGTCGGTGGCCTCTATTGAATGTGTTACGAAGGTTATAATGCGTCGTGCTTTCATTCTTCTGGTTTCAGCTCAGTTTGTTCCGGCACTGTGATCTTCTATAGGATCCTCGAGCGTCACTGTGTGCGACACTATCACGATAACTTCTGCTCGGCATCCTCGAACTACGCTCTCTCCACGCATGGTGATAAAACCGAGGAGAATATATCACTGCCCATCTGAGGATTCATTAGGTATTGTGAGGAATGGTATGTGTCTATAGAATCAATCGTATCAATGACTCGAGCAATATTTCTAAGTGTGCGTTCTAAGAGGAACGTACTATGCACGAAGCAAACCAACCAACCTTGCTCGCATATTATGTGCCTAAGAACGCTTCGTTTGGGATCCAGGAGCGCTTCATTTATAATGCCTGTTGACAACCACGTACGACTTCTGCATGTGTGGTGACACAAGTGAAGGATCAGAAGCGTTCCTAAGACGGCGGTTTTGTCGTGTTTCGAGCACGGCTGTTTACGTATTCGCCGAGTGGCACTCCACAATTGGCGAGCAAGTTTGTCGCGCCGCCTTCGTTTCTCCAAATGGATAAGCTCACCTTGCATCCTTCGCACGTAAAGGCTCCGAAGTGGTATCCAGCGGCGGGTTCTCCGCACACTTTGCACAGCTGGTTCATCTGTAATAGAAGAAAAGAGAAAAATGAGGAGCGCTTACCAATTTCCTCAGCTACAGAATCTAGAGGCGCTCATGCTTTGCAGCATCTGCGGGTGGGCGCAGTCATAATCCAACTTCCATTTTTGTTTCCTCTTATTTCGCTTACTTCACCTCATTATTATCATAGCAGGCCAGGTTATTGCCACCTTAGATTCTATTGTGTCCTTCTCCCCAGCACTGGCCATTGTGGAAGCTCGTTAACGCCCGTTTTAGTGGCTCGGTATATCTCGGTAAGACAAGAGATCAGCAATGGCGGCTGTAATCTGGCGCGTGTGCAAAGCGTCGTATACCAGCATTTGCAATCTGCTAGTTAACGCTTGAACGTATTATGCGGGGAAGCCTCACTTTATTATGCGTGTGTTACCACCGAGCATATAAAACAAAACAAAAAAAAAAAACAGAGCGTACTGTGATGTGCATATCGACCCCAGTTCCTAGTCCTATATACGCACCCATTCACTCTTATATTCCAGCTAAAGTGCCCGCTACGCGAAGAATGCCTGGGTGCGGGCAGTGAGGCCTTAAAGCTTAGGCTACTTCAGATCCGCATTGAGGCAGGAAGTGTAGCAACTCCAGATTAAGCTCCGATAGTTGGAGGCGCCTGGCGCCACGTAAAGGCGTCGCTGCGGTCAGGCGGGTGGAAGTACAAATCCGTCATCCGCGTGCTGCGGCTTGGCCGGACGATGGTACCTCTCAACTCTCAAATAACATGACTCTCTCCGCAGGACCACAAAACAAGGCACACGGGCATAAGTAAATATATATATATATATATATATATATAAAGGGCCGAAATTGCTGATGCAGCCACGCTGATTCTCGAAGCATGGTGAATGCAGCCTCTCAGCACTTTTCCCGAGGGGTGAGCATTCCCGAACTCTCTCTTCTCCCTAATGCAAGCAGATAGGTCACTTACTTAGCCTGTGCATGAAGGACCTGCGCGCCAAGCGCGGTAAACGACAGAGCCATTACGTTGTTGTGCATGCATGTGCATAGAGGGGCGACGACACTGTGCGCTTATGGAGCCGTGACATGGTAAGACGACTGCGCGTCGAGAACGGCGTGGCAGGCCGAAGAACGGAACCGCAGCCCGTGTGCGTCCACAGGTCTCCAAAGCCGGCGGCAGGAGCTTCCTGGGGCGTCGAAAACGCGCATCCGCAAGCCGGCCGCGTAACGTAACGACAACCGAGGTGTAGTGGGGGGGCTAGGGCGTACTTGGGTCGCCGGCGATCTTCGGTCGCTAGATGTTACGTAAGGCTGTGGCGCCATCCCGTGGCGATGTTGTGAACTTTGAATACGTGTTCTTCAACCAGTCCAAGGTCAGCCGCATGTACCGGGGCACTAATGATAACGCATTAAAAAGGCAACCGATTTACGGCGCTAACGATACTGATTGATGACTCGCCCCTCCCTTTTTCCATCCCCCACTTTGCAGCGTCTCATTAACAACCGTGCAACCTTCGAGGCTCGGAGAAGGACTGCCCACCGAAGGCAGCCGCCTCCCCGCAGCCGGCACCAAAGCTCGCCTGAACCGGCCAATTGGTATCAATGCGGCGATGTGATTGTCGAGTCCACCTTCTGACCTGAATATGGCGGCGGGCGCTGCTTCGCCAACATGGCGGGGTGAATGTTCGCCGAGGCGGTCGGCCAACGATGGCCGGTCAGGGGTTGCGGGGAGGTCAGGCGCGATACCACCTCGCTCCCAAAGGAGCCGTCCCCTCGTGGATGTTTCCTCCGCCGTTTCCCGGTTCTGTGTCGGCGGACTCCTTCCGTGCTCGCGTTTGTTTTCACCCGGTCGCTCGGTCGGGCTGCGCCTTTTCCGGAACGGCGAAAGTGAGCGGCCCTGAAACGGAGGAGCGCGGCGGCGCTCCGCGGGTCTCGCTGCTCCAGCGCGACGACCGTTCCCCGGCCAACTGATAGTTTTCCGATGACCCTTCGGTTCGGCGATTCGGGCACCGCAGCTTTCCTTTTGCTCCAACTTCCCGATCGTTAGGTTTGAGGGGTCACCAGTTCGCGAACGAGGATCCTCTTTGCCCGGACTAAAATGATATGTGCCGATCGACTGCGCGCGCGTGTCTGTGCCCGCGGAGTCATAAAAGAAGATTGCAGGACCGTGTGGAACGTCAATTTACTGGCCCTGCATCGGACTCCGCCATCTGGGAGGTGTAGATTTTATGGGCAGTGCGTGGGCTGGTCATTACCCGCGAATGCCGACGTGCGCGTCTCGTTTGCTCTGTCCGCTTAGATCGGCGCCGCAATTATGCGACCGAACGGGGGCGGCGAACGATGCGGTCGGACTTTCGATCATATCGTTCGACACGCGATTCTAAGCGTGGCGCCCTGCAGGCTCCTTCCATGCCTCTGTTGGTGCACGGATATGTTCAGTGCATTTTGCGGACATTTCTTTCGCTTCTCTTAATGGCTCACTATTTAGGGACATTCCATCCGTTTTTTCCGAGAGGGAAATGAGTCAAGCTTCATTTCTGTAAAGAGGGGACTCACAATACGTGGCCCATATTCTCAGATGTGGCGCTACTAAACGACTGCATTTCAAACCGTTATTTTATAGACTAAATCGCCCTGATAATGCAACTCTCAGACCGCTTACTCATTGGATCGATATCATGCATTGTTTTACAGATTGTGCTGTCGATTAACGGAAGCGTATGCGACAGCATGATACCAGCAACGTCGTTCAAAAAGTGGAAACATTTTTTGTACGCAATACGTTGTCTGCAGAGAGTTTTACCAACGAGACCGTCCTACGAGGAAGACACCTTTTAATTTACTGGAAATAGTATCCGTGTCATTTTTTATTTTTTTTTATTTATTTTTCGCTCAATTTAAGTAGTGTAAGAATTCAATGAACACAGTTGAAGTGTTTCTGATTAATGGAACTTTCGATGCCTGCAAAATATTCGCTCTCGTGCAGTGAGCTCTCGTGCAGTGAACAGTCGACCCCACCCAAGAAAAAGCAAGAAAAGAACAAAAGCCGCCAGAACGGAGCAGCTAATAATCCTGACGCAATGCGGTGCGCACTGCGGGCGGCGCTTTCCTCCAGTGCGTTGGCGCTGGCGCCCATCGTGCGACCCGATGGGATGGACCCGCGTGCACCACAGAGTACTGCACGGACCGGGGCCAACCCGAAGGCCCGTGGGCCCGGCTCGGGCCGGGTAGCACGCATTTTCTCGGGCCCGGGCCGGGCTCGGGCTGGAACAAAATATGTTTCCGTGGCTGGGCCAGTCGTGTGCCTCCAATTCTAAATTGTTGATAACAAAAAGTGTGCTTTGGAAAGCCTTTACGTGGATAAAAGGAAACGTGGGGATTTCACCAGCATAGTGGGAAAGAAAGTGCGGTCAAGAAAACGAGGGCACTCCAGTCGCAGGGTACAACACGAGTGTCTTTTTCCTCTGCCTTGCGAGCTAAAAAAAGAAACGTGAGCTTGACTTTGCACTTTGTGCAGGGGGCCTTACTATGCCACCAAAGATAAGCTAACTACTCTAGATAATTTTGTGCTTATACAGCCTTTTGAAGATGCACTAGCGTGATTCTGATTGTCTCTTCACAAAAACACGCAGAGAAGAAAGCTCTCTGTGAAACGAATTGAACGACGAAAAGTCCAATATCTCTTCAAGAAATGCACAAGTAAAATATTGCCGATTTTTTTTTCTCAAACTCACTGATGAAGTTTATATTTCGCCCATATTCTCGAAAATACATCGTCTAAGTCGGAATATTTATTTTGTCAAAAAAAAAAAAAAACTCGTTCCATGTTTAAAAGAAATTTAAATCAAATATGCTCGCTTTATGCTTAGACAGTTTTTAGGTTACAGCCTGCAGACTTTTTCGGGCTCACGTATAGAATCTGTCGCGCTCGGGCCGGGCTCATGCTTATATTTTTACAAACAATTGTGTCGGGCTCGGGCCGGGCTCAAGCTTCGTTCTAAAAATGCTGCCGGGCCCGGGCCGGGCCCGGACAGTGTCTCTTCCGGGCCGGGTCGGGCCGGGCGTAGAATTTAAATATTCTATTGGACTCGGGCCGAGCCCGGGCCGTGCCTCTACCGAGCCGGGTCGGGCCTAGAAATTCTGGCCCGTGCAGTGCTCTGGCTGCACCAGACAGGTGTCGTCGGGACGCATCCGACGCGAGGTAAGTAAGCGACGAGTGCCTTTCACAAGAGCGGCCAGGAACTGTGCTACTCCTGTTCTGCGTCATTTGTGAGTGGCTCTTTTGACCCCCTGACCGGCGCTTGAAACAATGCCAGTGGGAACAAAGGGGGCCACCATCGAGAGTTGGCCGGAGCCACGCGAGCTCTTAGCAGGACCACGCCAAGGACAGATCCATTTGAGCGCGGCGCCCCCACCGATGCTCCCGCGGGGACTCTTTTGCCTCCACGGATGACGGGCGTCCTTGGGGGCACATCCTGGAAGCCCTAGACGCTCGCCCAGGCACCGCTGGTCGTGCTCGACCAATCTGGCGCGCGGGCTGAGGGGCTGCGCACACTTTCGCCTTCCGCGCGGCGCACCGCGAGCTCCACTCAACCGATCACGCAACCGCTAGGCGACGCCCGGCGGAACCGCTCGACGCTGCTCGTCGCCCGTTTTGTGGGCCACGGGTGAGGGGCGTCTCTTCGGCCGGGCCTCGACTCTGGCTGGAGGCCCTCGCGGAGGCTACCCTTCCGCCGGGTCGACGCGGGTGGAAGCGGGCCGTCGTCTCGAGGGGGATCTACTGCGCCGCGACATTCCCGCTTTCGCATCTCTCTCTGAGGCGTTGAATGCATCGCGATTCTGGCATCGACGTCGACCGTACAGAGACAGTACCTACGACCCCCCTCTTCCCTGCATTGGAACAAAAATTCTGCGCCATGTTGCGGTGTTTTATTTATTTGTTTTTTGCGACTCGGAGTTGCAGTGCTAACGATCGCTGAGCCCGAGATGACGTTGGGTAGCGGCATGTGACACCCA